TCAGGCTCGCGGGGCGGGGTCAGGGCTCCAGGAGGCGGGGCGTGTCCCACCGTCCACACCCCGGGCCGCGGGGCTCGCGCAGGCGCCCTCGGAACTTGGGCGCTCGGCGGGCCCGCCTGCGGCCCCGGCCGGGCCCGGCTCCTGCGCGCCGCCCCGGGCCCTCCCGAGGTGCGGCCGGCTCGCCGCTCCTGGCAGACGGCCTGGGCCTGGCCGGGCGAGCGCAGTGCGGCCCCTGCGGCCCCGGGACCGCGGGGACGGGACGGAGGCCCCTGCGGCCCCGGGACCGCGGGGACGGGACGGAGGCCCCTGCCTGCCCCGAGTGACCGCGGGGACGGGACGGAGGCCTCTTTCCTGAGTGACCGCGGGGACGGGACGGAGGCCCCTGCGGCCCCGAGTGACCGCGGGGACGGGACGGAGGCCCCTGCCCCGAGTGACCGCGGGGACGGGACGGAGGCCCCTGCCTGCCCCGAGTGGCCGCGGGGACGGGACAGAGGCCCCTGCCTGCCCCGAGTGACCGCGGGGACGGGACGGAGGCCCCTGCGGCCCCGAGTGACCGCGGGGACGGGACGGAGGCCCCTGCCTGCCCCGAGTGACCGCGGGGACGGGACGGAGGCCTCTTTCCTGAGTGACCGCGGGGACGGGACGGAGGCCCCTGCGGCCCCGAGTGACCGCGGGGACGGGACGGAGGCCCCTGCCTGCCCCGAGTGACCGCGGGGACGGGACGGAGGCCCCTGCCCCGAGTGACCGCGGGGACGGGACGGAGGCCTCTTTCCTGAGTGACCGCGGGGACGGGACGGAGGCCCCTGCGGCCCCGAGTGACCGCGGGGACGGGACGGAGGCCCCTGCCTGCCCCGAGTGACCGCGGGGACGGGACGGAGGCCTCTTTCCTGAGTGACCGCGGGGACGGGACGGAGGCCCCTGCGGCCCCGAGTGACCGCGGGGACGGGACGGAGGCCCCTGCCCCGAGTGGCCGCGGGGACGGGACGGAGGCCCCTGCCTGCCCCGAGTGACCGCGGGGACGGGACGGAGGCCCCTTCCTGCCCCGAGTGACCGCGGGGACAAAAACGGAGGCCCCTGCCCCGA